GGTTGATTGATTGTTTGATGATTAAACATAATGATTATATTATTGTGGGTTGAAAACCCTATGTACTCACCAGGTTTCCCAACCTGACCCACTCAAGCTTATTTATATCACAGGTGTCGATATGAAGCTACTTTACACTGAGAGATTTAAAAGAGATGTAGATCACTAGTGTAAATAAATGTAAGTTCTGTTTATGCTTATGTTTCTGTATTGACGATGACATCCCAAGGTTTTGAAAATGAATAAAAATACATTCTTCGGAAATGCTTTGATAACGTATTTATCATGTTTTTCTGGGAACAAATTCTGTAACACTTTTATTAAAAGAGATACTCTGATTTTTATAAAGCATAAACATAATCGGTCTTTTCTATCCGTGAAAATGGGGATGTCACATTATAGGACACTAAATCCATAATTGTCAACGTTCATTTGTAAGACACTAAGTCCATAGCTATCAATGTTCATTTATAAGGCACTAAATCCATAGCTGTCGGGGTTTGTCTATTTGGCACTAAGCCCATAGCTGCCAGAGTTTGTCTATTTGGCACTAAGTACATAGCTGTCAGGGTTTATCTATCAGACACTAAGTCCATAGCTGTCAATGTTCATCTATATCATCTTTCATCTCTCATCATTCATCTACCCATCTTTACCCAATATTTTTATTGGTATAGAATACATATACAGTTTAAATCAAATAAAACATGTATATTTTGTTCATCCATCATAAATATCAAGAACACAAATAATATGCACACATAACACGTAAAGACATTTAGCCAAGGCCAATATGTGGGTGATGTAATGTAGATGATCCGGGTGCGCGGTTTGTGTTTTGGAGCCACGGGGTATTTTGGTAAAGTGTCCGCTCGGGCTTTTATGAAAATTGGATTTTTGTTCGGGAAATCTTAAGGCGCGTGTGATTTGATAAAAACGTAGAGCTTCTCGTTACCTTTTCGTGGATATAAGGATCGTCGAAATCGGATGTATAATGAAGAAGATATTGCCTTTGGAGTATTTTAGGGTTTAAGGGTAACCCTAGTACGCCGGGCGTACATAGGGAGTACGCGGGGAGTACTAGTGTGAAGTGAAGTACGCGGGCGTACACTGGTGTACGCTTAGCGTACCAGGAGGGAATGTTCGTGAGGCCGAGGCCTCGTACGCTGGACGTATGAGGAGTACGTTGGGCGTACAAGAAGCACGGTGGTTAGATGGTGGTTTGTGGTTGATTGATGTTAACGGGAGATGTGTGTGAGAAGATGATCAGATAGAAAGGAGGAACGATAGTGAGGTGATGGTTTCTTGTGAGGTGTTGGTAGCCATTAATACATATAAATGATTAAAAATTTAAAAAATAATAATAAAATAATAAAATGGGTGGTCATCAAAATGGTCCTGCCCTCCGGTGTTTTATGTCTGGCCCCTCTCTGTACATAGTGGTTGGAAAATATTATTTAAACGCTTATATAATAATAATAATGCTAAGACTAATAATTAGTCACGGTAAATATTAGACTAAAATCTGGTGGTAATAATATTAGGTTTCGTCGAAGGAAATTATATTGTTAAGAAGCGAAGCGCTGTCCGAGTTTGGAATCATCACTTTAACAAGTGAGTGCATAGTCTCTTTCATCTTACACATAAATATGAAGTATTTTATATAAACTACGTGCTATGTGTGCATATTATCTGTATACATGCTATCTATGCTGGATGAACGATTTTATACAAGTTTTATATGATTTAAACTGTATATGTATTTATATCTACATAATATGTTGTGTAAAACATGGATAGATGAAATATGAGTTGGACGATAAGTTGAGAGGTAATATAGACCATGAGGTAAGGGTGAGAGGTCGACGATGTGATAAGCCTTTTTCCAAATGCTGGCCTCGTCATCTAGCAGAGTATGGATGACAACCACGGACTATTCTAGACAGTCTAGTGGAACACTAGCAGGCTCGCAACCTGTAGGTGTTGTGAACGATGTGTTCACTGGTGTACTCTAAAAACCCATCGACCTGTATCGCGAGTGGATTCTCGAAAACGATACTGTCAATAAAACCCTGGCAGATGCGCCTAAAGGACTCTACCGGCAGAAGCGCCTAATAGAGAACCTCATAACCCCGGCAGATGCGCCTAAAGGACTATACTGGCGGATGCGCCCCATAAAGAATGTCACAATTTTGGCAGCTGCGCCTAAGTGATAATATTAGCAGCTATGCTTGACAGATGTGTCATTAGCAACGATATATTTCGTGCCTATTCCTTAGGATAATCCTTAGGAATGAATGAACGAGGAATAGCTTATTCTTAGGGTGAATCCTTAAGAGTAAATAAGATAATGGGGATGGGTAATTGGGTTGATTGATTGTTTGATGATTAAACATAATGATTATATTATTGTGGGTTGAAAACCCTATGTACTCACCAGGTTTCCCAACCTGACCCACTCAAGCTTATTTATATCACAGGTGTCGATATGAAGCTACTTTACACTGAGAGATTTAAAAGAGATGTAGATCACTAGTGTAAATAAATGTAAGTTCTGTTTATGCTTATGTTTCTGTATTGACGATGACATCCCAAGGTTTTGAAAATGAATAAAAATACATTCTTCGGAAATGCTTTGATAACGTATTTATCATGTTTTTCTGGGAACAAATTCTGTAACACTTTTATTAAAAGAGATACTCTGATTTTTATAAAGCATAAACATAATCGGTCTTTTCTATCCGTGAAAATGGGGATGTCACATTATAGGACACTAAATCCATAATTGTCAACGTTCATTTGTAAGACACTAAGTCCATAGCTATCAATGTTCATTTATAAGGCACTAAATCCATAGCTGTCGGGGTTTGTCTATTTGGCACTAAGCCCATAGCTGCCAGAGTTTGTCTATTTGGCACTAAGTACATAGCTGTCAGGGTTTATCTATCAGACACTAAGTCCATAGCTGTCAATGTTCATCTATATCATCTTTCATCTCTCATCATTCATCTACCCATCTTTACCCAATATTTTTATTGGTATAAAATACATATACAGTTTAAATCAAATAAAACATGTATATTTTGTTCATCCATCATAAATATCAAGAACACAAATAATATGCACACATAACACGTAAAGACATTTAGCCAAGGCCAATATGTGGGTGATGTAATGTAGATGATCCGGGTGCGCGGTTTGTGTTTTGGAGCCACGGGGTATTTTGGTAAAGTGTCCGCTCGGGCTTTTATGAAAATTGGATTTTTGTTCGGGAAATCTTAAGGCGCGTGTGATTTGATAAAAACGTAGAGCTTCTCGTTACCTTTTCGTGGATATAAGGATCGTCGAAATCGGATGTATAATGAAGAAGATATTGCCTTTGGAGTATTTTAGGGTTTAAGGGTAACCCTAGTACGCCGGGCGTACATAGGGAGTACGCGGGGAGTACTAGTGTGAAGTGAAGTATGCGGGCGTACACTGGTGTACGCTTAGCGTACCAGGAGGGAATGTTCGTGAGACCGGGGCCTCGTACGCTGGACGTATGAGGAGTACGTTGGGCGTACAAGAAGCACGGTGGTTAGATGGTGGTTTGTGGTTGATTGATGTTCACGGGAGATGTGTGTGAGAAGATGATCAGATAGAAAGGAGGAACGATAGTGAGGTGATGGTTTCTTGTGAGGTGTTGGTAGCCATTAATACATATAAATGATTAAAAAATTTAAAAAATAATAATAAAATAATAAAATGGGTGGTCATTTTATACATATTTAACAGAGTTTTTCTAACGGATTTAGACGGAAGGACTGTTTATGCCATGTTTTTAAATCATAGGGATGTTAGTTATCAACTTTTCAAAGATTGGATCAAACCTGTGAATCAGTCCAAACCATAGGGACTAAAACTCTAATTTACTCTGCAATTGGGAAAATTCAAAGGGTTATTGTGTTATTTCTGCAAGTATGAAAAGATAAAGAAATTTAAAATGGGGTTATATTATGAAACATAGAACATAAATTAGGGACTAAAGGTATGACATGTGATTATGTGATTGAATTCGAAACTTGCTTCGACTTTTCATTTTTTCCCATGCTTTTCTCTTTCTTTTTTTCTTCTATGGTGAAATCATATGTCAAAACTTGTTTGCCCTTCCTTGTCTCCTCTTTAGAATTACCTAGCTCCTTTCTTCTTCTTCTTTTGCTTTGTGTTGTTTCCTTTCCTTTTTTTTTTTTTTTTTTTTTTTTTTTTTTTTTTTTTTTTTTCCTTTCTTCTTCTTTTTCTTTTTTTTTTCCCATGGGCTGAACCCTCACCATTGCGACCACTCATGTTCACGAAATGGTGGTACCGCCCCCATCATCACCACCATTCACCCCATATCGTATGGGTGTTAACGGTCCATTTTTTATTTTATTTTATTTTTTTTTCAGTTTTTAGGTCAAAACGAAGCCAATAACACTCCAATATCATTATTTTATCAATTAAATACAACTTAAAATAATAACACATATTACGGTCTTGTCATATTTTTTTTTCAAGATATTCATTGACCAAAAATCGTTCATTTGTTCATACATCATATACCAACCCAATCTTTATATAATTATAGAAATTCATCATTGAGTATTAGAACATTCTAATATTGAGAACCACTCAAAATAATTTGCATAGGTTACAATCATCATAAACAAACTATGATTTGGTATGACATTTACACATTATGAAAAAAACCCGAAATTAATAGTCCAATTTTTTGAATCAAGTTAAATTGTCGCAACCAAAAATTTGTTTCATGAGGAGGAAGAATGTGGTGACCCGGGTCGAAAGTTAGGATCATGCTATCTGAATGTTTGCCTTTGTTGCGTACCTAACTTTGTGTAAAAAAGATTTAAGCTTTTGATGTATAACAGAAAAAAAAAAAACTAAAATACATTATTATATTATATTGAAACAAAAGTTGATGACCCGACCATATTATGACCCGACCCATTTCAAGAAACCATAGTATGACCCGACCCAGTCTCAGTCCGTTGTTGTCCCTACGATGCGATTTTACTTCATCCTACGGTCAAAACTTGTCGGTTTAGAGTTTAAAAGGGGGAGATCTCTACACTTTCTCCATCTTCGCAAGTCTAGGTCTAAATCGGATTTAGGGGAAATTCGCCAAGGTTCGTTCGTTCATATCTCTGATTCTTCATTTACTCACTAAAACACGAAATTAGTTTTATGAAATTTTTGATTCATCTTGAGAATTTTTTATTTAACGAATCGATACGTGAGTACAGTAGTTTCTGAAAATGTTCTTGCGTGAGTGAATTTTATCCAAATGTAACGAAACAAGCAAATAAGTTATGTATATGTTGTTTATCGATATTAATTTTGTGGTAATTCATGAACGGTTTCGTAATTAGGTGGATAGAAGAAATTCACAACGGTATGTTTTAGGAACAGTAATCTTAGTGTTCGGTAGGAGATGCAGTAGAATCAGTTGATAATATGGAATTAAATCATACATGATTCCAATTTCGAGCCTAAAGTTATTGCTTTTGAAAGATGATTTGGCTTTCACGCGGACTCCCAGTCGTAGATGAACTTGATGCGCATAACACTTTGCGTTTTTAGGTCTCTACAGCGAAAGTTCTCTTATTGAGCAACCCTAGCGTTCTGTTGTGTTCCTTTTTATTTTTGGTTTGTATTTGGGGAAGTGTATGTGCAAAGTAGCAATTGTAAATCGTTCTGATTTCACTAATTTGACTATCGTGCGTTGGATCATATCTATATATAGCTCTGTTCATCTGTCATTACACTTTTCACATGTATCAGTAACTCCTTTTATTGCTTCACCTAAATGATTCCGCCTTCTTCTGTTTGTAATCTTGCTCATCTATAATGTTTAAGATTATATGGTAATCCATGGAGGCTTTATATACCTGAACTTTGTTTCTATCTACCATTCATTGTAACATAATAGTTATCATGTCAGGTTGAAAATGCCTCGCTATGATGATCGATATGGTACAACTCGCCTATATGTTGGTCGTTTATCTTCACGGACACGCTCTCGTGATTTGGAGTACCTCTTCAGCAAATACGGGAGGTAAGTGTGTACTTTGATCCCAAAAGGATTTCTTTCTAGTGTTACTCTGTATGCCATACATGATCATACATATCTAGGTTTATTGTAGATGGTTTTGGCTGAAAGTGTCAAATCTTTTTGGTCATATTTGTGTCTAGATGCTTAAACCTTTAGGTTTTAGGAAAAAGAAAACTTTAGCTGTGGCAGTGGTTATGGTCAGTTTTCCATTAGAGTGTTGGAAAATGGGGAATGAATGAAAACAGTACAGAGGTGGTTATGTATGCAAATGCAAGGGGCATTGTGATTGTACCTGTAGGTAGTATGTGATTTAACTTGAATGAATTTGTTGAAGGTTTTCGGGCTTTTGCCTGACCTGGAGGTCAATGGTGATTGGTGGAAAAATGGTGGGAAGTCTTGCTGAGTGTTATAGGAGACTTTTGGCGAATACTTTCCCTCTCCCTCTCTGTAGTCTTAGTTCCTGTTTTTATGGAATTGGCAACATTCCAATCCAAATTTCAAAGTGGTGTTTAGTTGGTCTTGAAGGGCGATGTGATGTATGATGCACTCTCTTCCTGTCCTTAAGTAATGATGCCCTTACTGTTTATGGAAACCGTTTACGCAGAGTACGAGATGTGGATATGAAGCACGACTTTGCATTTGTTGTATGTACTCTCTTCTCTTCTCTCCTCCTTTCTTTTCCTTCCAAAATCACTTCAAATCTCTATTCTTTTTATCACATCATTATCTGCTTCTGGGGTTTGTTCCCTTTTCTCTTCTTTCTTGATTTCAACAACAGGAGTTTAGTGACCCTCGGGATGCTGATGATGCAAGATACAGCTTAAATGGTAGAGACTTAAATGGGAGTCGGCTGCTTGTGGAATTCGCCAAGGGTGTAAGTAGTAACTTTTATAATAGTGTAAAATTACGAATCTGCCCTTTTATGATTTTGAAATTGTACATGTCCTGGTTTCAGACTCCACGAGGCCCAGGCGGTTCGAGAGAATATGTAGGGAGAGGCCCTCCGCCAGGGTCAGGGCGGTGTTTCAACTGCGGGCTTGATGGTCACTGGGCCCGCGACTGCAAAGCGGGTGACTGGAAGAACAAATGTTATCGATGTGGTGAGAGGGGCCACATTGAAAGGAACTGCCAAAACAGCCCTAAAAAACTCAAGTTTGTTTTCCTTCATATCTCCATGTCACCTTTATTGAATGCTATTTTTATTTTTTAAAAAAATTAATTTATATTATTTGTTTTACAGACGTGGCAGGAGCTACTCGAGATCACCGGTCCGATCACGCTCTCCCCGCCGTCGCCGGAACCGCAGCCCAAGTTACAGCCGAAGCCCCAGTTACAGGTAAGTAAAGTTGATTCAAGGACCAAAATTGCCAAAATCAGTTATACTTGGGGACCAAACATGTAATTTATTTATTTTTGGTAGCAGTCGTTCCAGGTCACCTCCTCAAAAGAAAGAGCGTTTGGAAAGGAGGACAAAAAGCCCGCGATACTCGAGGAGCAGCAGCAGGAGTCGCAGCCCCGAGCCATCTAAAAGAAGGAACCGTAGCCCAACGCCCAATGAAGACCGAGTTAGTCCGTCTCCTGAACGAGTTAACTCGGATTATAGCATGAGCCCGCAGAGGGGAAAGAGCCAGAGTCCAGGTGGCAGCCCGTCTGAAGCCAATGGGCGTAGTAGGAGTCCTAGCCCGGTTGGTGATGTGGGTCCAGGTCAGGGTGAGGGTAGTCCGGTTGATGAAGAAGGTGAGGGTCCGGTTGTTGAAAGGAGCCCGAGCCCGGGTGACGGTGAGGAAGAAAATCGAGAGGGTAGTGAGTAGTGAGTGATGAAATGGGGAGGGTGGTGACTTTGTCTTTTGGTTTAAACAAGACTTTGAAAAACTACTACATGGCATGTTATGTCATGTCTCTTTTTTCTTGTTGAGAAATATGACTTAAATGATGTTGAGACTTTTACCTTTTACGCATCCTGAATTTTGAAGTTGGTGTATGCGTGGGTAATTCGTGTTCTAAACAACCCAATGACCTTAACTGAAACTATATTTTTTTTAACCTTTGAACATGTTTTGGAATGATATTTTTACCTTTTCCACTTGTTTGCTATGTGTAATTATTTGGTTAATAGCCAAACTTTTGGCCATGTGGTTCATTTGTGGAAGATATAGACCACAAGTCGGGGACTGTAAAGGTGGTTTTATTGACATTTTTGAATTTCATAAATAATCAGTATATAAGAAATGTGGCTATGAAGTTATAATAATTAAACTAATGGTCTCACTTTTAGGTTAGTTAGGTGTAGTACAACTAACTTATTTTATTTTTTATTTTTTAGTTTTTTTTAAGTTTACATGTTTAAAAAGTTAAAAGAAGTTAAAAGGTAGTTAATAAGCTAACTTTTTAAAAAACTATTTATATTAGCTTTTTAAAAGTTTTTTTTTTATATATTTCAAATATATTCTTAATTAATTATTGAAAACTTATAATCCTAAATGTTATTTTATATCTTCCAGCTAGTTTATTAATCAACGTCATTTTTTATCGGTTAACATTCTTACGAACGATGATTTTTTTAATTAATAAAGCAAACATAGTTTATTGATTAGCAAACGTCATTTTTTATCAGCTGACATTTTTACAAATGGTGGTTTTTTTAGTTAATAAAGCAAACATAACCTTAGTAGGTAATTTATTTATGTTTTAAGTTGGATGGCAACTAGTACTCTTTCTAACATTAATGTTATTTTCAGCCTAGGCTTATTAGAAAAAATAATCCAAATTGATTACACTATAGAAATATCGCTCCAACTCCAAGTTCACCAGCATGATACTACAGTTTGATATACATTTTCTGAGTAAAAAGGTATCAAGAAAAATGAAGACCATTAAAGTAAAATTTATTTAAAATAGGTCAAATTAGTCAAAAGTTGTCTAAATATTGTTTTCAGTTGTCTGGTTTCCTAAATTGTTTCATTCAAAATATTAGATTAGATATTTAAATATTTGACAAAAAATGTTTGACATCAACATGACAACCAACTTTTTTGTTTCCTTCATGTCATCCAACCCACCCAACCTCAAGTGCCACTTTTAAATTCTAATAATTAGTATAATAGTTCCAGGATTCTCTATCAGGATTATGCATTTAATAATAATTTTTCTTAAAAAATATACAGTACTACAATAACAAAATTTCGTTTTCTATTTGTTCAAATCAATTCATTCCCTCTTGCAGTATATAGAAACTACTATTACCACATCATAATACCATCCATATAACCACTCTTTCAGTACAAAAATGCTCTCAACTGTTTTCTTTCTTTCATATACACGTAAAGGTAAATCAAACATTTTTCAGATTGAATCACTAAGAGGACCAAGACCTAAATCATCTTCTATATCATCTTCTTCTTCAAACAGTTTCAAAAACCTCGCCTGTTCTTGCTGTCTTTTCCTCTTCAACCAATACTTATATGCCACAAATACTCCCATCATCAATAAAATTGAACCCACAATACTCACAACTATAATCACTATATACCATTGCACCCCATGTCCTTCATTATGATGATGCGAATCACCATCTAAGTTATCAACTGCACCTATATCTCAATCATCAAAATATTTTTACATAAAATCAATTTCTTGATTTAAACTCAAGTTAACATACCTTTTTTCACGCATTCATCACACAAGAATGTGGCATTGAATTCCTTGTCTTTGGAGTGAATGTATATACCATTAGGGGATGTAAAATCAGAAGGACAGAATTCCCACTCATCAAACACATCATCGAATTTGATACGATCCTTTTCATAGAACCCACATCTCTTGCATTTTTTACTTGTGAAATTCGTGAGAGGCTGGAAATGTTGAGGAAAGTTATCAATGGAAGTTATGAAGCAGTGAGAAAAGATATGATTGTCGGTTGCATACCTGGAAAGATTCTTCACCTTTAAAATGATACACTGCGTGTGCCTTCTTCACATCTGGAAGAACTGTCTTCTTCTCCTCATTACATTTAAAGTAGACTGTGGGTGTTGATGTTAGCCATTCATGGGTTGTGTATATTTCAAGAGAATCGAGTGTAACAACTGCTGACAATAAGAGTTCTGTAAACAGAAAAGGGAAATCATATGGGTGTCTTGATCGTTTGATTGGTTCCTAACAGTTTGAACCAAGATTCCATTTTGTTATGCGATTTATGATTTAAATCAGAAGCTCAATTTCCTATATAGAAATGGTCGATAACCAATAATATACTCACCACCTCATTCAGATAGAGAATCATAAACAGCTAAAGATGATTTATTCATGAATGATTTTCAATCTGAGAATCAGTACTCAAGTACAGTAATTATCGTGAAGAATTTACCTGGAAAACAGAAAAGAAAAATAATCGAAACCCTAGAATTCCAACGACTCGCCATTGACGTGATGGAACAAATCAATCGGTCATTGATAATCTAAACTTTTTAGGAGGAATAGTTAAACAGATCAATTGCTTCGTCTTAACGGAGGCGATGGTGGCGTGTCTTGCTCCGGCAGCGACAGAGAGAAGGGAAGATTCGCGCGTGATTCAATATTCGTAGTGATGGGTCCGTCAATTTACGTCGAGGTGCAGTTTAGATCAAGAGCATGTTGTTAACCGACTTTATTAGGTTAGTTGATTGTTTGATATAATAAGTGTGCACGGTCCGGTTTTGTGCGGTTTATAGGTAAAACCACAAACCGCACCGCATATGCGGTTTGAGAATTTTAGAAACCGCAAACCGCACCACAGAAACCTTAAACCGCACCATGAAAACCTTAAACCGCGTTGTGCGGTGCGGTTTAGTGCGGGCGGTTTGTGCGGTTTAAATGCGGTTTGATTAGTTTTTCAACATTATGCGGTACCGGTTGTTCTACTTCGTAAATCGTATGGTGTAATTATTCTTTTAGGGACAATTACAACCATGATATGTTGATAATTTAAATTAGTTAAAAATTATAACATAGTTAAACATATATGGTAAAATTAACTAATTAATAAAAGTAGATCTATATGTACATATTATTAGTAAAGAAGTATTGCATCGTAATTTCTAAAGTAAATTTAACATTGAATCGATTGAGTTGTGGGTTTAACAAACAATTTAGTAGTAAAGTGTTTATATATGTTCATGAATAGTTTTATATATTAACTTTGCAAGAATGACTGTTATGAGGTGCACGTCATAAAAATCTGTCAAAATTATACTAATATGACTCCATTATATATATATATATATATATATATATATATATATATATATATATATATATATATATATATATATATATATATATATATATATATATATATATATATATATATATATATATATATATATAATGCGGTGCGGTTTGAACCGCGGTTTTGTAAATATAAACCACAAACCGCACCGCATAGTGCGGTTTAGAAAAGTTACAAACCGTAAACCGCACCGTGACCGTCCAAAACCGCATTGTGTGGTGCGGTGTGGTGCGGTTTGTGCGGTTTATGAGGTTTAGTGCACACCACTAGATATCATATAATACAAAAAAAATATTAAACAAGATAAGTTAACTGAAGACTAAATTACATAAACAATCCTCTTATTTATACGATAAATAAATAAATACTTCAAGATAAGTTAATTGAAGACTAAATTCCTAAATGGTCTTTTGATTTATAAAAAAAGTTCACAAGTTTCATTCCTAACTTCTTTATGGTCAATGTCATTATAAAAATTTACACTAGTCGTTCTTATAGCTCACTCCATTTGATTTTTGCCGTTTAGTGTAAATTATAGCCCACTCCATTTGATTTTTGCAGTTTGGTGTAAATTATCGCTCACTCCATTTGATTTTTGCCGTTTAGTGTAAATATGTGTCCATCATGTGAGGGTAGTTTTGACACGTCTTAAATGATAAATTAGACAAAGATTTGCACAATCAATCCCTAAACTATTATTGTTCATCGCCCCTAAGAAACCATGTAGGATGTTGGGGAATAAAGTAGGGTGATGATAGAGAACCAGATTCTTAATAGATCGTGTAAATTTACTTTATGAACTGATATTTTCATCTTATGTCTGGGTTATAGAAAATTCAGTCTAGGATAATCTAAAAGGACACTTGTGTGTCTATGGGTGGCAATTGATGACACGACACGGAAAAAATACGAGACACAAAACACAACTGAAATTCGGATTCGTGTTCGTGTGAAGTGTAAAAAACACGATGTCATGTCGTCTCGTGTTCAAAATTCGATACGAAATTGACACGATTTAGCATTTGTTTGTTGTGTTTTTCGTGTTTGTCGTGTTATGTATGATTAGATATTAATTAAATAAACAAATTGTTATATTTTGTTATCTTTATCGTGTCGTGTTTGTCGTTTTTTAATTGATTCGTTTTCGTGTTAGTTAATAAACACGACATCGTGTCGTGTCGTGTTCGTGTTACATAAAATCTTGCCGTGTCGTGTCAGACAAAAACATGACACGATGAACCGATTTGCCATCCCTATGTGTATCTAGGCACAGAAACACAAGCCAAATTGTCAGATGAATTCTGAGATTGTAGTAGAATAAAGAGAGCTCATAAGGGTTCTGTACGACTCAAAAGAGGAGCCATATATATATGCATGACAAATTAGAATTTTTATCTTCTAAATTAGTTACGAGAATCTCGAAATTAATGGCTTAATCAATGGTTTCCAAATCTGACAAAATTTGTCAATCTTACCATAATCACCATCAGAATCCAATTTTCCCATAATGAAACTAATTCAAATTTCCGAATACCAAGGTTGTAGAACTCGTTACTCGGTACCTGTTCGGCCGACTACCGAGTAGCGAGTACTCGGGAGTACTCGGATTTGGTAATTCATGTATAAATATTTTTAGGGAAATTATATATGTCAAAATCATAAGTTAAAACCATCAGTTGATTGAAATATATAACAAAATTAGATAAATGTGAATACACAAAAATTGAAAAACACATAATGGTCTCACTTTGTGAGTAATTACTGAAAATTTAAGATATATATGTAGTAATAATGTAACACCGTAAATTTTTCAAACAAATTTTTCATTTTAAAATCGCATACTTTTCATAACATATTGTATAGAAATCTCGTTTATTCAAATTACAAAACACAACTCCATTAATAAGCCAGGATCCTCAAAACATAACTATTTCTCTGGTGTGTACAATCAAGCCGGTGCCTTCCCGCGATCCTCTTAGATACCTGAAACACATAACACATAACACGGTAAGCACGAAGCTTAGTGAGTTCCCCAAAATACCACGTACATACGAATAGCCACTCGAGGCTATAGCTCTACGAGACCTTCCGGTCAATGTGTCTCAGGGGCCTTCCGGTCCCACCCTTTGAGTAGACCTTCCGGTCCTACTCTGTCGACCTTCCGGTCCATACCATGTTGACCTTCCGGCCCATACACTGCTGACCTTCCGGTCCATACCATACTGACCTTCCGGTCCATACCATGCTACTCATAACATACATAACATATACATATCACATAGAAACATATATCACATACTCGTCATAGCACATAAGACCTTCCGGTCACACATAATTACCACTCTAGGTAAGGTATGGTGAGAAGACTCGCCTCGAGGATGTCTAGTAAACTCTCGTGCTCGATATCCCCGATCTAGCCTCCGCCTATCAAAATGATAATATCTCTAACCAATACTCTCTTTATATCCTCATCTCTAAAGAATGGGTAGAAGACCATTCTACCCCTCCATATCCTCTTTGAAACAGTTTGACCAAACCCTAAGGTCAACTGAAATCAACACCAGTCAACGGTCTAACTTTGACCAGACTCGCTGAGTGCACTCAGGTGACTCGGCGAGTCCATGCGTGTCCTCAGACTCCTCCTAAGGCCCCACTCAACTCGTCGAGTTAACCTCTCACTCGACGGGTTTCCACTGATCACGAATCGCGGGGCAACACGATCCGACTGGTCGAGTCCTCTCATGGACTCGACGAGTTTCCTCCATGGCAACACTCCTTTTGACCTTCTGAGGTCAGATCTGTTTCTCTAACTTATAGATCTGGCCTTCTAGCACCCAAAAGTCACGTAAAGGTCCGATCTTGATGTCCATGCATGGCATATTTCGCTCAATATGCCATTTAGACTCCATTAAAGCTTCCTAACCTCCAAACCCCATGGTTGCACAACAATGGCTTTCTACTTTCTGACTTTCTGGACCTTACAAGGTCCAGATCTATGCTACCAGCTCACAAGAGGGGTTTGATGCACTTAAAACCCCACCAAGAAGATAATACAAGCCCTAATCCTCAAAAGGAAGATCTACACAATTAGGGAAGAAAAGGGGTCCGAATTGATACCTCCAACTGATGCTCCTAGGTTGTAAATCGCGGATCTACAACCTCCTCTGCCCCTTTTAGCTTGAAACCTCCTTCTTCCTTGCAAACCATCCACCAAGAAGCTCAAAATGGCTCTCTCTCTTGCCCAAAACACTAAGGACTCGTTTAGGGTTCTCTCTCTGAAAGGTAGCCGCAATAGGAGGCCTTAAGAGCCTTTAAATAGGCCCAGGCCCGAGGGAATTAGGGTTTCTGTCAACAGCGCTGACTCCGCGAGTCATCTCTCCGACTCGTCGAGTCCATTCATTAACCACGTCACCAAGTCGCGACCCTACTCGACGAGTTGAGGCACCGACTCGTCGAGTCCCTCCAAAGTCCTTGAATTAAATACTCAAAACAATATACCTGGTAAACCGGATGTTACAAATAATCACATGTGTTTGTGTTAAATAATAAATCATTAAGTATATTATACATATTAATCACCGAGTTGACCGAGTTTACAACATTTCTCAGTTCAGTAAGGGGTCGATCGGAGAGTACTCGGGATTCTATAACTCGCCTCGGTAAGGGGCCGAGTAGCGAGTACTCGGAGGAGTAATCGGCCAACTCGGCGAGTTTTACAACACTGTCGAATACCTTTTGGGGCGCTGCCCCTAGGACCCTACAAGGGGGTGTGAGCTCCTTGACCTCCGACATTCTATCGTACCGACTTATAATTCGACCTTATATATGCATGCATTCCATATTCACCGAACATATATATATTATAGAGTGCAAATAATAAGTCCCTTACTTAGCTCACATTTTAGTTCTAGTTACCCAAAATTCCCGGCGGCACTAAAATCACCAACATAGGAAACTAAACTTAACTATACATCTTAATGAACTATTTGATTAGTCTCGATCTATGGTACTGGATGTACATGAAGGATATGATTTTTTAAGTCGCTTCTACCTTATGGACATTTGGTTGGGCACCCCTAGTCAAGTCAACAAAGTGTTCAAAGTAGACCAACATGTTCCAAGTGAGCAAGATGTTTTAATACCTTAATATCTTCCAAGTGAGAAAGACGTTCCAATAGACCAAGAGATTCCAAATGAGCAGAATGTTAAAAGTTAACCAAATTGATCAAGCTCAACATAGTGTTCAACTATACCAACATACACATACTTATACAATTACTGATTATAAATTTGTTCCATTCTTTAACATAAGAGAAAATGAATGCCATTATATAGTGTGATATCCCCATTTTTACGACCATTTTTAA